TTAAAAGAAGCACTATAATCTCCGTCCTGTAGATCTGTTCTGTTCTTCAGCAGCACCTGAGGAAAATGCTCATCTGTGACTCTTTAGCTGCTTAAATCTCCACAGTGTTTCTCACTCATGTTTGGTTCTGCCAATCGAAGTTTTCAAAGGTTTTTCAAGAGCAGCAAGACTGAACAAAAACAGCCAAAGCAAAACAAAGAGCTGAAAGCAGCAACACTAAGTAAAGTTGTGATTCAGCGTTACAGGCTAAGCTAATGTGAATGTGAATATGCCAAAAATTATCAGTACTTGATGTATTATTTTGTAATGCTGCCACTGAAAGTTGAAACTCTTATTAGAATCTAAATGCAAATTATTTTTTTAAATGACCTGGGGGGTCAGAGCTGGCTTGGCAATGAACCTATGAAACCTTTTGACTGTACTTTCATAGGTTTTACAGCTTTCCCTACTGATACAAACCACCCCACACCCATTCATACTACACCAAAGTAATTAAGTAATATATGAATAATTAAATTCATCAAAACCTCCTGTTTTATTAACTATCTACTATAGAAATGTTTTTTTAAATATATAAAAAAATATATTAATATTTATATATATTCAAAGTGAAAAAAAAATCAGTGAATTCACAAGAACTTTCTGTTTTATAAATTCAGGACAGTCTCGGGAATGAGCTACCAAAACTTCTTCTGTAATTTGACATATTTATTTTTTAAATAAAAGCCCAGCATGTCATACTAATAGATCACAGCAGCATTTCTTTATCATGCGGAGAAACTGAGATGTACTGTTGAAATGATCACAGGGATTTAAAATTAAGATCAAAGTGGGCTGTGTGTGGTCCACAGTGAATTTGACATGCCTTCTTTAAATACACAGATATCATATATGGTAGATGATTGTATAATAATGCCATCTTACCATAGTATAGTGAAGTCCTAAGTACACCCTCATACAGCCACTTTGCATGGTGTCAGACTCCCTTGACTGTCACAGGCCATTTATTATTCCGTCTTGAAAAGCTAGTTTATTTACTGCAATCAAAATGACTGAAAAGAGCAGCTTTCACAGCTTCTACGCGAGCAGAGTTCACTTTTCCTTCATTTCCAGATCTATGTCAAGTCACAGTGCAGGACATGACCAACGTGGCCCAAAAGAAGGTAAAACGTAATGAAAAGCAGGGACGTAAAGTCTTTCCACACAATGAATCTTTGTTTCGGTCTGTCCCCAAAGGCCATTTTCTCCTACATATCTGTCCATGAGTGACATGGGAAATGACCCAAATCTGATCACTGTGATTTGTCTCAGGAAACCGACCCCCACCTTATTCTTCGACTTCATAGTGACACCCCTGTGTGCGAACACATTTTCAGAGTAGTGATAAATCCACTCGACACCCTTCAACTCTGGCCCTCCCCCATCAGCTTCACTTGGCAGTAGTAAATTCACGTTTCTATTGAGCAGGAAAGGAAGAAAGGAGCGTGGCTGAAGGTTGGAACTGGGGTTCATCTTTCACTCCATTCCCTCCCGCCCCCAAAAAAGGGGTCTGGACACAGTGACCCCAAACTAGGTAAGACGACACCCAGATGATTTTAATTAACCTTGGGCAAATTTAGCAAATGCAGAGGAAGCAACTCTGATCCCACAAACAGCAGACTCTCACCGATGCCAGGAATGGGCAGGAATCAGCAGCTCACAGCTGACATGTTATACTACACTGACTTCGCTGGGAAAAATATAACAGTGGATCATGAAGCTCATAAAAGCATAATTAAAGCCAGAGGATACAACTAAAACACCAGCGACAGACCTTTAGGTTATGAATCTTCAACATCCCACTGTTTGCAAATTCTTGGCATAGAAGGGGAAATCGCTGTGTCCTACAGTCAGTGAAGGGAAACTGTGTTTTAGTGGAAGTGCTGAATCATTCCAAGTTTGGTCCCGTGGCAGCTCCAAATGCAGATCTTTGACTTTTCATGGGAAACTTCTAGCACTGATTGTATTTCTACAGCTAAGAGAAATCACATGGCCATGTAATGCAAAACAGTCCACATATCAGAGCTGGCAGGCTGGGAGGAGAAAGTGGAGTGTGTGTTCGCTTTGTGAATGGGCTGAGGCACAGCCAACTATCTGGCTGGAGCCTATTCAGCAACAAGGATGCAGGATTAATATACAATGATATGTTATTGTGCCAAGAGCTAGGAGTCATTAGTCTAGATCTTTACCCCAGTGCACGCATGTTCTGAGCTGTAAACAACCTCCTATTCTTCCTCAGTGAAGGAGAGGGGGATGTGA